TGGAAATGAACCTCCCGATAGAACATGAGCCAGTGATCTGGTCACATTCTCCATATTTGGAAATGAACCTCCCGATAGAACATGAGCCAGTGATCTGGTCACATTCTCCATATTTGGAAATGTTATGTTCACAGATGAACATGAGGTTTTGTGTTGACTTCCATCCATATTTGGAAATGGAACCTCCCGATAGAACATGAGCCAGTGATCTGGTCACATTCTCCATATTTGGAAATGAACCTCCCTAAAGAACATGAGCCAGTGATCTGGTCACATTCTCCATATTTGGATACAGACCTCTACATCATAGACAATGGATCTTTAACAGCTAATCAGATACAGGGAGGATTTTCTGAGACCCTATAGTGTAGCCCATTGCTGAGTTGTTGGCCACATTTATATATTGTGATAATGGGAAAATGCTCGTGTGGTCAAGACTATCTTCAACGTGAAGCAATCGTTCGCATGGACTGGCCAAGTCGTTCTTATCTGAACTTCCCATGGAGCATGCTTGGGACACCTTGCAACGCCGGGTTTCAGCTCGACCTATATATATATTGTATACAGCTTATGATTGCTCTGCAAGAGGAATGGCAGCGTCATATATATATATATTGTATACAGGTAAGATTTTAAGGAGCATGTGCATATATATATATATATAGTTATTGATGTCAGATTTTCTGGTCATACTGCCTATTATATATATATATTGTATGAGATTTTCCTTGTCTGGTCTATATATATATATATATATATATTGTATACAGGTAAGATTTTCAAGGGATGCTGTTCTATATATATATATTGTATACCACAAATGAATTTGTTTTGTGTAATTGGTATATATATATATATATATTGTATAAAATTTAAGATATAATCATATTATTATTTGTATATATATATATTGTATACAGGTAAGATTTCCTTGATTTTGTATATATATATAGTATTGTATACAGGTAAGATTTTCTGGATTCTGGTATATATATATATATTTATATATATATTGTATACAGGTAAGATTTTCTATATATATATATATATATATATATTGTATACAGGTAAGATTTTCTGGATTCTGGTCTATATATATATATATATATATATATTGTACACAGGTAAGATTTTCTGGATTCTGGTGTATATATATATATATATATATTGTATACAGGTAAGATTTCCTTGATTCTGGTATATATATATATATATATTGTATACAGGTAAGATTTCCTTGATTCTGGTATATATATATATATTGTATACAGGTAAGATTTTCTGGATTCTGGTATATATATATATATATATTGTATACAGGTAAGATTTTCTGGATTCTGGTGTGTATATATATACTGAAAGGATAAAGAAACGCAGGGTAATGTTTATTCCGATATTTTGAAAACGCGTTCTCCAAATAAAACTTTGTGGATTGAGTAATTAGGTCATATTACACCTTGTCATGTATCGAAAATTTAGTCACGGTACAGTGCGTAGCTCTGGTAAATGGAGGAAGGAAAAAACCAGAATCTCGTGCACCATGTTGTTCTGGTCTCATGCAGCGTTGGTCAAGTCACTCTTCGTTAGTCTTTATACAGACCAACTGCTTCCCTAAAATTAATTGAGAATTTGATTCGTTTTAAGAATGACACGACTCACAGAAGTTCAGAGGCGTCAGGCCATCCAGATGCTGATGCAAGGACAGCTGCAAAATCAGGTTGATAGGCACTTTGGTGTTAATGTTTCCACCATAGAACGTCTTGTAAGACGTCTTCGGGAAACTGAGCGATTGGCTGATCAACATAGGACAGGACGTCCGCGCGTAACATCATGACGTCAGGATCGCTATATCGTCGTCTCTCATGTGCGTAATCGGCGCCTTACTGCCGTTGAGAGTGCACTTAATGTAAAAACTGTAAGGAATCGATTACGAGAAGTTGGTGTAAGAGCACGTCACCCCTACGTAGGTCCACACCTTACCCCTGCTCAGCGTCGTATGGCCTGGGATGCTGCACATGCATCACGACGGTTTCCACTGAGGCAGTGGAGACAAGTTTTCTTCACGGACGAGTCTCGATTCTGTCTTTATCGATCTGACGGCTGTCAACGTGTCTACCAACGTCGTGGCGAACGTTTTACGGACGCTTGCGTTGTAGAGAGGGATAGGTTTTGGGGGCGGTTCAGTAATGGTGTGGGGAGGAATCTCACACGGGTTAAATTCACAATGGGTTGTTATTGATGGCAATTTAATAGCAGCTAAGTATAGAGATGAGATCCTCCGACCCCATGTTATCCCTTTCTTACAGCAGCATAATAGATAGATTTCCTTGATTCTGGTATATATATATATATATATATATTGTATACATGTAAGATTTCCTTGATTCTGGTATATATATATATATATTGTATACAGGTAAGATTTCCTCGAGGTACTTAGAGTAAATGTCCCTAATGAGTAAGTTACCATGGTTACAGTGTGTGATGCCTCCTTAGTGAGCCACCATCTACTTACTACAAGGCGGTCCTACCTCACCACGACCCTGGCTGTTCACTTGGCGATAGATACAACTAACAGTTTCTGGAAGTCTGGTGGTTGTGTTTATAGTTACAGTGTTACAATAATTTGTGTTGTTTGGCAAAACTGACTTTGATATTGTTTCATTGACACTCATCATGAATATTTTTCAATGTTAGCAAATATTATGCAGCCTTGAACTCACTTTTATTGTTGCAGCTGTTTTAACTGTGTGTGACATTCCACATTAACTACAAGAGAAAACATGATATATATACTATGGTAACATGTTTCTCCGTTAGATTGAATTATAAACCTGTCGTTAATACCACTCCAGCTCCGTCAGTTTATACTCCTCATCCAAAGTTTACGAGTTTAGAACTGTATCATCATCACTTCAAATTCAATCATCAACAGTACCGTCCAGTTTTTATCACTTCCAGAAATGTGTTTCTTAATTAGATATGAACATGTAATTGAAACTACGAAGAACCACATTTGTCAACCTTACAAATTGTTGTAGAAACCATGCACATGCTATTTTCTGAGTTGACATTTTCATAGTAATGAATTAGTTAATTGAGCAGAATATGGTTACAGACTTCCAAATAAAGCTGTTTGTTTGATGCTCAACTGGCTTCAACTGGCCTTAGTGAACTGGTGGGGTACTGCATTGTCGGTCCATCTGTCCATCTCTAGGTCAACTTTTCCTACCATTTTTCTTCTAGTCATGAACAACTGTACAGATTTTTACCAAATTAGGTCAGAAACATTTTAGGGGAATGGTGAGGTTGACTTCCCAGGGGCCTGAGGAGTGGGGCCCGAAAAGGGAAAGTTTGCAATTTTTTTGCAAATTAAAACAAAAATCCTCTATCTTGTTAAGGAATGATTGGATATTGTCATTCTTAGGCGTAGAGAGGAGATTCAGTGTTGTATAAAAGTTTGGGTAGACCACATTGGTTTGGAGGGACAGGCCCTTTGGGTAGACCACATTGGTTTGGAGGGACAGGCCCTATTTAGAGAAAACATGAAAGTCTGTAAAATTCTACTTTTTCTATAGGAATGGGTTTATTCTGTCCCAATTCGGTCTGAAACATCAAAGGGTGCGGGGAAATCAATTTCCTGTTAACAGTGGGTTGCGTCCCCTTGGATGAGGAGAGGCAGGGCCCATCATAGGGAAAATTGAGCAAATTCTTTAAAATACATTTTCTTCTGTAGGAAGAGCATGACTCTGTCCCAATCTGTTCTGAAGCATGAATGGGTTTGTCTTACCCCTGGGGACAGATAGGGCTGTACCAATTTGAAAAACAGTTGTTTGGGAATAATTACTGCTTTTCAAATTTGCAGTCATAATAAAAAAAAAAGAGAAAAAAAAAGAAATCTGGATTTTTGGGGTTGTATTAAAATCTTATAAAACTTGATCCTAATAATTTTAGTCACATCGACACTTCAATTGTAAGGAAAGTAAACACAAGTGAGCATTTTAGGATGCTGCTAAAACACCATGCAAAAGAACATGCTTCGGCAGATAAGATTCTGTCATACAGCACAGAGCCTCTGTGATGATTAGAAATTGTTCATGGCAGGGTAAGACACGTACAAGATTCATTATCAATGATACTATCATGTTGTATGTGAGTGGAAAGTAATTTGGATACCCTTATGTAGACATGGTATTTTAACTTTTTCAGGTCAATCAGTGTGAGACACATTTTAATGATAACTAATTTCTTCTACTGTCTTTCCGCACTATTGATTATGGGCAAATAATCATTATTAACTCACCTGGCCCAAAGAGCCAAGTGAGCTTATGCCATAGCGCGGCGTCCGGCATCTGTCCGTCCGGCATCCATCCGTCCTGCATTCGTCAACTTTTCATTTAAACAACTTCTGAAATACCGAAAGGCGTAGAGTTATCATATCACATATAGTCCTAAGGTTTGCCCTGTGCTCATGCGTGCCATTAAACATCCAATTTTTTACTGGCTGATTTGCTTTGAATAAATTTAGAATTTAAAGTAGGAATTCCTTAATTCAATTTTCTTGTCATTTGTCAATTTGAAGGTTTCTTTAAGTTTTGTTTTGTTTTTTCCATTCACTCAAAATTGAATTAACCTGGTGTAAACTATTTAGGAACACCATGGAAATGCAGTGCAGACAGAATGGTTATCATTTTCAAGTGAAATATTGATCTACTTCTATATATCTGAAAAATGGTGATACTTCTATTTATTTTAAAACCATCATACCTATCTATTTATCTAATTATTACTGCTATTTATTTCAAAGTGGAGGTAGTACTTATAATTATCTAAAAAAAAGTTGGTACATAATTGTGTACTTCAATTTTAAAATGCTTATACGTCTGTTTATCTGTAGAAAAAAAAGTCTGACAAAATGGCTGTCTTTCATGTTTGTAGATTGTGACATTGTAATGATTGTCAGAAGACATTTACAATTCGTTGATTTTGAATATTTATAGATGGTGTGTACAGAACTCCGCCAGCCGCAGACTGTTATCCCAGAATTCCCTCGCAGCCGATCAGCTACAATGATGCAGCCGACTTGATGAGGTATTATCTGCATGTAGCCATAAGTTGATGAATTTTACATTAATCCTAAAACCCTTTGATAGTGACCGACATGTCCAAAGTAAGCAGTTATTTTAGAGTTGAAGAATTCAGTATTAGTAGAGCCATGTTCGTACACCAACTGTTTTCACCAATAAAGACAATTTCCCGGGGGAAAAACAGGTACAGTTCAGACAAATTTTCTGATGTACTTTCAGGCATATCTTTGGTACTGCTTTTGTAACATAGAAAAAGAGGTGAAAATAAGAGGGAATTTATGGTCTCAACAGAGGTACGTTTTAGGCACATTGTGGAATATACATTCTCCATTGAACATACCTAAAGTGTGCTACTTGTGTTCATGTTGAGGAATACCCTAAAAATACCTAAAATGTGCCTCCTTGCTCTCTTGTCAGGGTGTACATAAAAAGTACCTATTATGTACCTCATGTGTCTAAAATGTGCCTCCTTGCCCTCTTGTCGGGGTATACATAAAAAGTACCTATTATGTACCTCATGTGTGTAAAATGTGCCTCCTTGCTCTCTTGTCGGGGTATACATAAAAAGTACCTATTATGTACCTCATGTGTGTAAAATGTGCCTCCTTGCTCTCTTGTCAGGGTGTACATAAAAAGTACCTATTATGTACCTCATGTGTGTAAAATGTGCCTCCTTGCTCTCTTGTCAGGGTGTACATAAAAAGTACCTATTATGTACCTCATGTGTGTAAAATGTGCCTCCTTGCTCTCTTGTCAGGATGTACATAAAAAGTACCTATTATGTACCTCATGTGTCTAAAATGTGCTTCCTTGCTCTCTTGTCAGGGTGTACATAAAAAGTACCTATTATGTACCTCATGTGTGTAAAATGTGCCTCCTTGCTCTCTTGTCAGGGTGTACATAAAAAGTACCTATTATGTACCACATGTGTCTAAAATGTGCCTCCTTGCTCTCTTGTCAGGGTGTACATAAAAAGTACCTATTATGTACCTCTTGTGTCTAAAATGTGCCTCCTTGCTCTCTTGTCAGGGTGTACATAAAAAGTACCTATTATGTACCTCTTGTGTCTAAAATGTGCCTCCTTGCTCTCTTGTCAGGGTGTACATAAAAAGTACCTATTATGTACCTCATGTGTCTAAAATGTGCCTCCTCATTCCTAAAATGTAGTTCAAATATTAAAAACCAAATCTTAAAGCAAAAATATTTAGTGATATCATGACCACACATTGGGTATTATACCTAAGTAACGTATATACATTGTTATTGTAGATACCTGAAAGCGTTCAATACCCGCCAAAATACACGTCTCAACAGTCACTGATTCCTGTGACTTAAATCACATCCTTCAAACTTAAGGATGATTAGGTCTTATGCTTACAGAGGCAAATTTTCACATGAATATTACAATGTGGAATTGATTAATTAAAATTTCGATGTTCTTTTGTAAATTTTTTCGATCTGACACATATACATGTTTACTTAGCTATACATATACACAGGATATGCCACTGAGTCTGTCATGAACTGTTCACTTTTTCATGTGAAAATGGAATCAAGTTTTTGTTTGTAATGGCATTTCTGTTCCTTTTAAGGTGTAGGCGGCATCAATTATAGGCCAGTAGTTTTCAGCAGTTTATAACGGGAAATACTGAAAAGAGCAATAGCGTTTGTTTATGTTTTGTTAAACATTTGATGTCAGACCTCGTTAAGAACAATAAACAAACAAACAGACACGTTGGTCACCATTTACATCTATGTTTGAGGACAGAATGTTAAAATCTTACAGAAAGGGAAGATCTTGTGACGAAATAGAATGTAGACATGATAACATTTCCACCATGAAAGTGACAAACAAGACCATTCAGCATAACATGCCAAGAATGCACAGATGATGAATTAATTCTAGACAGTGATATTTGATAGACCCGACGCATTCAATAATAGTGATATTACTAGGCTGGCCATATAATTATATTAATATATTACACAGTGTTTCATTACATGACAATGAAATGAAACTCTAAGGAAGAAATGTAATTGAATTAAATTATGTAAAACTTGTTTGGCAGATAAATGTGCTTTTGCCATGACCAATGTAAAATGAACACCTGCCAAAAAAATAAAGTAAAAAGCTCCAGTGACTAGCAGTGTAGGAAATCATGTTCTGACAAAATGTTTTCTTAGAACTAGGTCAAATTGACCTACTTTTGGTACACAACACACTGCCTCACTGAGGTAGATCTAATCTGGTTATAGTGTAAAGTTCTAGTTACAAGTAGATGTGATCCATTTAGACTTTTCCTCTGATGTACAGATTTGTGCAAAAAGTGAGTATAATTTTCCCCCCATGTTATTTCACTTCCGGGTTCATTCTTAATGTTCAAAGGTCAAAATGAAGGTCAGAGTGACCTACTTTTTATACATGACACACTACATCACCTAGGTGAAACCTGCACAGAGTATGAGATTCTAGTGACAAGCAGTATAGGAAGGCACAGCCCAGACAACATGAAGTGCAAAAGGAATGTAGAACACAATACCTTAGCCCCATGCCATCCTGTTTCCCCACGGGTTAACTGGGTTAAACAAAGATTAAGTATCAGTCGTTTAAACTTATATCATATTATTTACCGTGATTATTTAATTGCAATCAGAAAATGCAGTAACATTTATCATTCTATTGGTTTAAAGTACAAATCTATGACTAATATAGGACTGTACAATAATGGAAATGCGAGGACAAAGAGCCTATCAAGTTATGACCTGTGTTGGACATATTATCGTTTAAAAATTCTTCAGAAATGTCATGGAAAATTTCAATACTTTTCCTCATTTTTTAATTTTCAAAAGGAAGTCACTACATTTCTACATCAGAAATTACCTCACTGACTTTTAAGTCTGAACCTAACTGGAATGTCACATTGATAACACATTACTGCAAAATGTTTATTGGCATTAAAACTGTTAACAAATTTTAAAAGATGGCCTCAACTTTCTGATTCTTACCTTCTATCCTACTGCTTCATACTGACTCTTCTCTCAAATCAGATTTTATTTATTATAGTCAAACGAAAATATTGATCACATGAGAAGTAGAATGTAAACATTGACACAGTGATAATGTTGCACATTTTTTCATTTGAGTTTTTCTAAATGTCATAAAGTAATTTCCAGAATGTATGATATTTCATCGATCTTTAACCCAGTGGTTTTGAATTTAATGAATTTCTCATGGATCTACTTTGATTTAATGTATAACATATTATGAATTACAAAGAGATACAAAATGTGACCTTGACTTTGAACCCTTAGACCTTACATTTAATCGGACATTTCTCATATGATTTTCAGCTCCTCTAGGCCGATGGGTGTTTACGGTAGCAAATGAACAATATATAATCTGTTGTTGTTCTGATATCCAATACCAATGCCAGTGGCAATCTTTTGATTTGGAACTTTAAATTGTTTCCAAGAAATGTATATTTAGCACAAATTCTGACTTTTTGTCTGTATTCTATCATCCATATACATCGATCATAATCCTAATCAATACTATCACTTTTTGTCTGTTGTCTGTCCATCATCCGTCACACTGCCCTATTCCTCATTACCCAGTACTGCAATCAGCTTTGGTTTGTTGTCTGTCCATCATCCGTTTACATTAATCATAATCCTTATTAATGCAATCTATCTTTAGGTTGCAAGAGACAAAGTCTCAAGTGACCTTTTGCTATCGTCTTTTGTCTGGCGTCATCCGGCATCTGTCATGCATCATAAACAATTTTCATTTTCAACTTCTTTTGGATAACCAAAAGGCCCAAGGTGTTGGTATTGAGCCAGTAGTATGCTGGGATGAAGTGCTACCAAGTTTGTTCAGTTGAATTACCTTGACCTATTTTGAAGGTCACAGGGGTCAAATATGTGAAAATGTTTTAACTACTTCTTCGCAATAACTCAATGACCAAGGGTCATGATATTAGGCTAGTAGCATGCTGGGATAAAGGGCTAATATGTTTGTTCAAATGAATGACCTTGACCTTCATTTATTGGGTTACAGGGGTCAAATTTGCTAAACTAAAATGACAGACAATGTTATCAGTACAGTTGAATCGATAATTAAGCCTTCAAACTTAGAAACAATAAAAACTTTGTATAAATTAGTTCTGTTCTGTCTGCCCTAATGTTTTGACTGATGAACAGGTTCTAAAACTGTCCAAAGACCTGAAGACCTCAGGTCACTGTTAAGGCCTGTGAGCCTCTCATTATCTGTCGGAGCATTCTTATTGATATATGAATAAGATTAAGGAATTTCGATTTGCACAATCATGTTTTAACATAACATGTTCCGTGCAAAAATCACAAAAATTAGATTATGACTGGAAAATCTATAATTTCCGTATCTTATTGCTTCAATTATTCAACAGACAAAACAGAATTGCATGTGTACTAGTGTTATCTTTGAGGGGTGTAGTGATAGATTAGATTTATTTCCTAACCACAATAATGTTTTCAATATCTAGTTCATTTAAAGGAATGATTTCACATGAGCTCACAAGCAAGGTGGCTTTTGTGAATAGATGTAAGGTATTATGGGCAAACAATGTTTCTTTTTGTTTATACACACATTGAAGTGGTTAGACCATCATATGGAAAAAGCATTGGAAGCCATTTTGACGGAATGATAAATTATTTGCTGTACATGTAAAAACAGAACAGGTGTTAAACCTTGTAATGATCAACCCTTATACCTTGCTTTTTCAATATAATTTTTACCTGCCAAGCTCTGTCATTTATATCAGCTATGAATACTATAACTAGACAGTTGAGTGCTTCAATAACACATCATGGTGTGACATAAAATGCTTAACTGTGACTTAAACCCATGATTCTATTCTATTATTTAGTGATGCCCAGGGGACAAACACATAACCTGACGTCAAGGGATGGCCTTAGTATCAGACAATGGAATGATTTGTATTAACACTAAAGAGTGATACCATATGTTTTAATACACATGGGCTTATTAAGAAACATAGCCTTATTCCAAGATAATTATGGATCATTACATATATGTCTTGTACTAATAAAACCTAGAGGTATATAAATTTAGAAAACATAAAATTTTAGATAATTAGTGGAAATATGTATAACTTTGATCTTATTTTTACAGGAATATGGGAGGCCCTACGGCTCCTAATAAGTGGTTTGGTGGACTAAACATAACCTACAAACTGGGACCAGGTTACCTGGACGACAGGTAAGTAAAACATCACCTACAGACTGGGACCAGGTTACCTGGACGACAGGTAAGTAAAACATCACCTACAGACTGGGACCAGGTTACCTGGACGACAGGTAAGTAAAACATCTCCTACAGACTGGGACCAGGTTACCTGGATGACAGGTAAGTAAAACATTACCTACAGACTGGGACCAGGTTACCTGGATGACAGGTAAGTAAAACATCTGCAGACTGGGACCAGGTTACCTGGACGACAGGTAAGTAAAACATCTGCAGACTGGGACCAGGTTACCTGGATGACAGGTAAGTAAAACATCACCTACAGACTAGGACCAGGTTACCTGGATGACAGGTAAGTAAAACATCTGCAGACTAGGACCAGGTTACCTGGATGACAGGTAAGTAAAACATTACCTACTGATGGTTGGAATGTCTATAATGATCAGAATAATTAAACATTTATAAATAATATCAGAATTTTCAAACATCTATAATTATCACTGTTTGTGTATCTGTAGTTATCAGAATTTTCAAACATCTATGATTAATACCTGTTTGTGTTTATTTCAGAACTGTTGAGTTAACAGTAAATAACAAAAATGACAAGCGTAATATTTCCAACCTGATAGCAGTGATAGAAGGAAAATATGAAAAAGGTGAGGTCTGCTAATGACTCTTAATACTGTAAAAATACTCACTGGTGTCCATATTGATTTTTTATTCATTTCCATCCAGAGGAATTTATTTCAAACAAAGCCAGAGGAATTTGGTTAACTAGATGAAAGAAAAGAACACTCATCTAAAAGATGCAACAAAGATCATACAAAGGGGTGATAAGATACCACAGTATTCTCTCTGTCTGTCTCTTGCCCAAAGGTCACCTCCCTACAAAGGTCACCTCCCTACAAAGGTCACCTTGTCACCTCCCTACAAAGGTCCATTATGAATGTACTTTGAACATCAAGGTCAAGGCCATGCAAGGTCACCTTTTCTATATGGAGAAAATCATCAACTGATTCAATTAAAACACTGTGCAACTTCATTCTTTCATGGAACTCGGTCAAAATTTACGCAGTGGTTAAGTATGAGTATGCTTTGGACATTGTTCTGTTTCAGGGGTCAAAGGTCAAATCCATGATCACCTTTGTTAGTTATAGAAAATTATCATCTGATCCAACACTGAAACAAATTTTGTTTGGTGGCAGGGGCATTTATGTCTCACAGACACTTCCTGGTTTTCTGTGTTTTTAAAGGTTTCGTGTCTGTCCTGTGTCTGTCTCCTGCATCTTCTGTCGTCTATGTTTCCTCCTGTCTGTCCATCCTGTGTCAGGTTGTCTCCCTTTCTATTTGTTCTCCTAATCAAGTTTGACATACTGTGTTGACATAGAGGAATCAGTGTTGGGGACATTTTCCCTTCTGTTTGTCTAGGATTACGATCCCTCAGTGCCAGGGGAGTAATGGGACGCCTTCATTGATCCTGGCAACATCCTGATTGACTTTGAGAGTGTATAAGAAATCAGGTCATTTAATGCTATAAATTCACACCACAGCTGTTTGATCTGATGTCTAGACAGTCCAGGACATTAAGTAGTTAATTTAAGAAGTTAACATTTTCAAGTTGTATAGATTGAATTAACCCCGAAATAGAAACTTTCCTCAACCTTTAAAAGATTCATATATGGTCATTATTTCCTGGTTTTGCTGGAAACTAATGACCTTAAAGTGTCACTGTGGGTATTTAATGATTTTGTAGAATGATTTGCCTCGCTGATTAAAACTTGGCCTCACATTCTCAGACTTTCACCCTTTCTATTACTGGTTTTTCCTGGGGATCCTTCTTTCAGGTGTAGACATTACTTTCCAGAAAGATATAATTGACTTTGTGAATAAATAGTTCTGGATATTTTGGTATCAAATTGTTATATATATCATTGGTACAGTACATTTTAGTGGTGTGGATATTTTTCACAGACACTTAAAGTATACACACCAAACTGACAACTCCCACTTTATGTACATTTATGTTTCAGATAAATATGTTATTGTGGGGGCACACATAGATTCCTGGACTAAAGGAGCCGTAGACGCAGGGTCAGGCTACGCTGTTATCTGGGAACTGGCTCGTGCATTTACATCCAAAGTGGAAAAAGGTAAGCAACAGCACATAAGACTGACTAAAGCAGGGTGTGTACAGATATAAATATATCAGGGATTTTACCAATATCAACATAACTGGGTTTGAATAGGTCAGAATAAATATGTCAGGGTTTGTATGGACATAGATATGTCAGGGTTTGTATGGACAAAGATATGTCAGGGTTTGTATGGACATAGATATGTCAGGGTTTGTATGGACATAGATATGTCAGGGTTTGTATGGACAAAGATATGTCAGGGTTTGTATGGACATGGATATGTCAGGGTTTGTATCGATGTAGGAGTTTGTGTAGCATCCACCATCCAGCGTCATCTTTTCCACTTAAACAACTTTGTTTCAATAACAGACAGATGAAATGTCATGGTATTTGACTGGTGGGTTGCTGGTATGAAGCCTGACAAAGTTTGCCAAAAGAAATTACCTTGACCCTTATTCAAGGTCACATTGGTCAAATTTGTTAAAATCTTTAAACAACATCTTCTGACTAACCAAAAGAAGCATGGTATTAGGTTGATAGGTTGCTAGAATGAATCCCAACAGAGTTAAAGTGACCTTGATGCTTATTCGAGGTCACTGGAGTTAACTTTGTTAAAACTTTTTAACAATTTCTTTTGACTTATCAAAAGGGCAGAACCATGGTATTTATCTTTAAGGTTCATAAGATGAAGCCTCACAAAGTTAGTAAAAAAAATGACCTTGGACCATATTCAAAGCCAAAAGGATCAAATTTGGTAAAACATTTAAACCGTGTTTTTCAAAAACTGCAGAAGCATGGTATTTGCTTGATGGATTTCAAGGATAAATCCCAACAATGTTTCCAAAACAGAATGATCTTGACCCTTTTTCAAGGTAACAGGGGTAAAATTTGTTAAAACTTTAAAAAACAATTTCCTTTGACTTATCAAAAGGCACAGAAGCATATTATTTGGCTTAAAGGTTCTAAGGATGAAGGCTAATGGAGTTTGCGAAAAAAAAAAAAAAAAAAAGAATGAACTTAAACCATATTCAAAGTCACAAGGGTCCAATTGTCGAAACTTGTGAGAGAATTTTTCTGGCTAATCAAAAGTCTGAGAAGCTGGATATTTGGTTGAAAACTGTTTGTAAGTCAAAGCTGACAAATTACAAGAAAAAAAGAAATGACATTTGCCTATAATCCAGGTGATAACTGTCACCATTTAGACTCGAGTATAAGTAGCTGTTTTTTGCATAAATTCCCACTTTCCATGCCAACGGTGAACATATTATATATATTTATGATGAACAGTGGTTCTATTACTGTATAGCATTGAATACCAGGTGAGCGATGCAGGCCCATTGGGCCTGATCTTGTTACTTACATTCAGACAATGCTAATGTCAGGTTCATCTTAGGGAATTATGGTGTCACCCATGTCTCTCTGCTCCGTCCCTGTCCTAATCATTTTGAAATCTAGAGAATATCACAACATGTTTGGTTAACCTAATAGTATCATAACATTTAGTTAAACCCTTTTTTTACATTGGTTTTGGTAGGTTGGCGTCCACGGAGATCCATTCTTTTTGCATTGTGGGATGCTACAAAATACGGTCATATTGGTTCATTTGAATGGGTACAGGTATGTATAGAGTCAGCACAGGAACACATCCCTGTGGAGCAAAATTGTCACAGTGTCCAGATCTATCTCGTTGTTGGTGTAGATTTCAATCCAAGTCAGAATATCTAGTTAGAGAAATTCTTCAAGAACCAACATCCAGTTCAGTTAATATGCATGTCTAGGTTCCACAACTACATTCAGAGGGATCCTCCATAGTAAACAGAGCTATCTTAAGAAATAATAAACAAAAAAAAAAAATAAATAAATAAATAAAAAGGGGAAGCAACTCTTGTATTCTACATTCATTTATGTCTGGTTGCCACCATCAGGGCACAGCCTACATATTATGGTTGGATTTCATGAACATTTAATAAACATAGTTAGCAGTAGGTAACAGATATTATGAGTATAACATGTAAGAGCTTTGAAAAGGGACACAACTCTTACTGTATTGACTGCCAGTGATGTGATTGAAAGTTTAATAATTTAAGGTGCTGTATGAGTCTAAATAAAATGGATAAAATCTCACTGATGCAAGATAACTTTTAAAATTCACACAAATTGAGTCAAGGTATTGGAGATTACCATAAAAGATGTTATAAAGGAAAATGTATGTAAAACATGTAGATGATATTTGTTATTAATTTTACAGGAGTATGAAAAACAGTTATTGACAGGAGCTGTAGCTTATATAAACCTGGATGCAGTCATTAGAGGTAAGATATATATGTAGGGTAGTGAATATCTACTTTTTATGTTGTATGGGATTTAGATCAAAAGATGTTGTGTTATTTTGCTTTTATCATATTAGGATCCATTATCTGAGGTGAGATTGAACCTCACACACTACTTCAAAATAAGATGATGAGTTTTGATCCCTTATCAGATGGTGGGCTGTTCAAATTGCTGTCATCTGTCCTTAAAACTCAGAGTTTAAATCTTCAATGCATTGCTTAACAGATAACATAAGGAATGGAAATAACCCACCTGTTAGTGATCTTATCACCATTTGCAGGTGAATCACGTATATGTTATGTAAAGATGTTTTGGAAGCTAATGTATAGGAATGCTGTGTCTGATTTCACTGCCAGTTGAGTGTCTAACTGAAATCTGACAATATAATGATGTTTGGTGATCAAAGTCTGGCGACAGTTGTGGGCAGTGTATATGATGAATCATTTATCAAATTAAAGAAAAAATGATTTATCTGTTGATTCAGACCACTCCCAGCAGGAAAGCTTGAACAGCTAAGTGACAATCACAAGTTTGCTGAAGTTGGGTTGGTTCACTTGACCATTTGAGTGGAAATATTTTTATTAGTGTGAGTGTATTGACAAATGAGACGTATACCTGTGGTTCAGGAACTTCAGCTTATATGGAAAGTTTTTGAAATTTGTAAACTTTGATTCAGAATTTCATCAGGCCACTTCATTGGCCCTGTTTATCTTTTATAAACTTGGTTCCTGATAAATTTGAACACCCTGGTGTATGCCTTCATTTTCATCTTTACAGGTAACTATTCTTTTTCTGCTGAAGCAAGTCCACTGTTATATTCTGTCATCAAAACTGCGGCCAGTCAGGTACCCTGTGTCGACCCCGACTACCATGATATGTCTGTTTTACAGATGTGGACCAAGAAGTTCCCAGACCTAACCAACAGTACACAGCCAAGGTAGGGGGAGTCAGGTCCTTCTATTTTATTGTAGTTTGGGGGAGGCAGGTCTTTCTATTTTATTGTAGTTAGGGGGAGGAAGGAGGGTTGTAGTATACCAGCATCAGAACTTTTAACCTTGTTTTTAGGGCCCTGCATCGCGATGCAGGTGCCCTATAGTAATCACCTTGTTATTCATAACATATACCACTCTGGTAAAGAGAACCTATCATTACTGTGATTGGTTGAATGTAGTATGCCAAGAGTTCTTAGTTGAAGGTAGATAATAACCAGTTGGTTATAATTTATAGAAATTTATATTCAGATAAAATTGTCTTGTTTTTGTTCACTTACTGAGCACTATACATACACAATGTAGTGAGTTGTGTTCTGATGTACAGTTGTAATTATACAGGATCAAAAAGACGTTAAACTACAGAAAAATTGTCCATAGTCAATAAACATATTAAGGGTTAATTCTATTTATAGTGCTGATAAGGAATTGTACATGTCATTATTCTATACCTGTAGGATCTCATTTTTACAGGATCTTTCCCTTGGAAGGTGACAGTGACCATTCTCCATTTTACTATTACCTGGGTGTACCTTCATTTTCACCTGCATACACCTTTAATGTAAAGGTAAATGAAATTTAATCAGTATTACAGTGACTGTACTGCAACTATTTTTTACAAGTGTTCTTAATTAATGCTGATCAGGTCTGGCTAAGTATATTGAGGTCATGCTAACACTCATAAGGCACTAATGATATTGGTTTATGATAATCGTCGAGGTAATTGTTGACATTATATTGGATTACAGCAACCTTTCTTATTATGTTCCTGGAAGGGATAGCATATAGTTACCGCTTTGTCCATCCGTCTGTCTGTCCGTTACAATTTTGTCCGGAGCTTAACACGAAAACTATAAGAGGTATCAACATGAAACTTCATACTTGGTAGATAAATCTCAACAATGAGAAGTGCAGTGCACCAGAATCATCTTTTTCTTTTGCATAGTTCAAAAGTTACTGCCCTTTGTTATTTTTCATACTTGAATGTTTGTCTGGAGCATTACACTAAAGATAGATCTCAACAAGAAGGAGGACAGTGAACAAGAATCATAACTCTCTTAATGCCTTTGTTATTTATCACGCTTAAATTTTGTCCAATACGGGAAGCATAACCCGTCTCTGATGGCCCTTGTTTACAAATGTGTCGTCATTTTAACATACCTGTACCAAGTGTGGAAAGCAGAAGAAATTAGGAGTACATTGACAATATATTTTTGTTCAGATATGTGCATAGTTTGTTTCACTGTAATCGATTAACAGAGGAAATTAACTTTATAGTATCTCTTCGGTTTTTAAAATGCTCAAAATGGTTATATCGTCGAAATTGTTGTATAAATGTAATTAAAGACCAAGGCAGCATTGTAGAATACAAACAATTTGAGTTATCTTGAACACATCCCTGACAGTCTTTTCAAATGTTCACTGGATCTGTTTTAGATAACTTATTATTACTCAGCATGATTAATGTCTAGCAAATTGTATTGTGTATCATTTGAATTGTGCATGTATTAACAGATGTGTTTTTTCACCAACTTTGTTATCAATTCTGTCTGTCTTTGGCCTTTTTGAATTTGAATGAATTAATGAATGAATTAATGGATGAATTAAGTAATTTTCAAGCATAATACAGTTGGCTGTCTAAAATGCGTAAAAATTGTAGATAAATTAGATTTCATCAGCATTCACCACTGTTTTAAATAGTTAAAACTCTGATTGAAACCAATTAATTTAATCTGTCACAGCTCTACAAGAATCTACCCACTTACCCAGCCTACAGTACACTGGAGGATACCATTAACTATCTACAAGTGTTCATTGATCCCAGAATGAAACTGCATGAAACTGTCTCCAAGGTTGTGTCCGATGTTATACTCCGACTCGCAGACAGTGCCATCATTCCATTTGACATACAAAATTACATCAGCATTTTCGAAAGTGGAAAAATTTACTTGCACTCTTTGAAATCTGTCTTTGTAGTTGCAAATGTCAACCTAGGTAAGTCTAGATGATGTAGAAATCAAATTGTTGTGTATAAAATCAAGAAGAAATAATATTAGTTTGTTGAATTGGAATTTTTGTAAAAATTAATGAAGTATTGTCAATTTTCAAACTTTAATGTCAAGTTGATTAAGTGTAAAACCGTACCATGGAATTCGGCGACGTAATAGTTATTTATGATTATTGTATTAACAACTCTGATTTGGAAATGCCTTTTTTAATTTAATGAAATTTTTTTTCAGATACATTAATTTCAAGAATTGATGATTTCACAAAAACCGTCGTCACATTTTCATCAAATATTACAAATATAGATGTTTCTAAATTAAAGTAAGTACATTTTCCTATCACTGATTATAATTATATGATACACGATAAATCAGTTAGTAAGCATATTTTGTTTGTTTCACTGATTAAAAACAGTCAAAGGTCTGTCATATATAGTGTATAAATAAACCAGTATTTCCAGTCATGCATTGTACATCAAGTTAAAATATACTTTCCTTACAAATGACCTCCCCATTCTGAGATGACTTGACTGTTCATGGCTAACAAAAGAATTGTTTTTCTACATCAGGATGAAATAACTAGGGAATATAGTATTGCCCTTGGCTATGAGCATATAGTTTAACACATATTTGACATGTCCTGTTCTAAATCAGGGTCATAGCTTTAGAACCTGTAAAGGTGTTTTTTTTCGTAAATAGCACATTTATGTATAGCATCATGTTCTACGAAGAAATTTGATAATTTGTGCGTATTCATCAAACAATTATATTTATATACAAGTGTAGGAATGTGGCATTCCTGTCTGTGAGATATTGTCTGATGTGATTCTTGTTTGTATGGTAGTATGTTTTTATAAGTGATACTTATATAGGTATTAATATCTTCTATGTTTCAGTGAATATGAAATACATCATCTTAATCACAAACTCATGCAGGTACCACGGGTATTTATAGTAGACAAAGGGTTACCTGGACAGTCACAGTACAGGTAGGTCATCTACAGGTACCACGGGTATTTATAGTAGACAAAGGGTTAGCTGGTCGGTCACAGTACAGGTAGGTCATCTACAGGTACCACGGGTATTTATAGTAGACAAAGGGTTACCTGGACAGTCACAATACAGGTAGGTTTTCTACAGGTACCACGGGTATTTATATTAGACAAAGGGTTACCTGGACAGTCACAGTACAGGTAGGTCATCTACAGGTACCACAGGTATTTATAGTAGACAAAGGGTTACCTGGTCAGTCACAGTACAGGTAGGTTATCTACAGGTACCACGGGTATTTATAGTAGACAAAGGGTTACCTGGTCAGTCACAGTACAGGTAGGTCATCTACAGATATCACGGGTATTTATAGTAGACAAAGGGTTACCTGGACAGTCACAATACAGGTAGGTTTTCTACAGGTACCACGGGTATTTATATTAGACAAAGGGTTACCTGGACAGTCACAGTACAGGTAGGTCATCTACAGGTACCACAGGTATTTATTGTAGACAAAGGGTTACCTGGTCAGTCACAGTACAGGTAGGTCATCTACAGGTACCACGGGTATTTATAGTAGACAAAGGGTTACCTGGACAGTCACAGTACAGGTAGGTCATCTACAGGTACCACAGGTATTTATAGTAGACAAAGGGTTACCTGGACAGTCACAGTACAGGTAGGTCATCTACAGGTACCACAGGTATTTATAGTAGACAAAGGGTTACCTGGTCAGTCACACTACAGGTAGGTTATCTACAGGTACCACGGGTATTTATAGTAGACAGAGGGTTACCTGGTCAGTCACAGTACAGGTAGGGCATCTACAGGTACCACGGGTATTTATAGTAGACAAAGGGTTACTTGGACAGTCACAATACCGGTAGGTTTTCTACAGGTACCACGGGTATTTATAGTAGACAAAGGGTTACCTGGTCAGTCACGGTACAGGTAGGTTATCTACAGGTATAAAGGTTTACCTGGACAGGTACTACTCATATATATAAATTAATATTATTTTCAAAAATTTATGTATCTTAAAAATAAAAGTATGTGGATATACATAAAAATAATTCTGTGTTGTTAATTGTGTAGTTTGTGATGTAATTGTAGAGTGTTTGGTGTATATATATATACACTTCTGTCTTTTTCTGTTTTGAAAATAAAAAAAAAATCTCTCAGATACTAAATTCAACTTCATAACTCTAAGAAGGCAATCTCCAAACTACCAAAATACCTGATGTATTCAAACGTATACATATTTAATTGTGTATTGAGATTGAATGTGATGTATCTGTGTTGAATAGAAAAATTTTTTTTTTTTGCTGTCTTCCTGGTACCTTTATATTGACAATGTAAATAGAATTGATATTCCCTGTTACAGAAACATTTTAATGTCACCACACCCTGAGGATCTCAACACACCACAAGTGTTCCCTGGGATCGCAGCGGCACTCAAAGATGTTATCAGTGATCAGAACTGGTTACCAATGAAAGAACAAATCTCTTATTTAATCATAGCTTTACAACAGGCCACAGACTTATTAAGTGACAGCATTCTCGGTGAAACACTCTGATCTGAAGATATCACTATTTTGTTTCTTCGTTTTACTGTCATTTCCTTTTCCAATTTTTCTGATGTGAGTTACAAGGTATGCATGAAGAGAAGCCGAGGACTGAAGCTGTCAATCATGTTTTTTTTTTATTTCATTGTTGTAATTAGTTTTACAATAAATCTGACTTTATTTATAGAATAATGAAAATATATGTATATATATAAAAAATAAATGCATCATTGTTGATGCAGAAACTGCTTAAATGGTGAAAGATACTGCTTAATTAAAATTTCTAAGAATGTTTGGTAATGTGTGTAAAATTTGTATGTATGTAATTACATGTGAATTGAGAATGTATTTGTACATATAGAGAAGATGTGTTCAAATGTATGAACTTTTATTTCTTGACTGAGTTATATTGTGATAAAATGATATTGTGTATAATTATCCAAAGTTTATCTGATCTCTGACTAAATTTACGATAGGACACCCTACCAGTATTCAATGTATGTGCAAGTGTTAAAGTCCAATTTTACTCTTTTTTCGCTATGATTGACAGAAACACTTATTGTTTAATGTTGAAAAAAACTGGTGATATGATTTCCTTACAATATCTGGTGATTCAGAGATGAACTCCTCAAAAAAGCGATTCTTTTTTAAATTTTAAATGTGTGATCTGTTTTTAAGATCCAATTCTGCAGTGAGTATTTAGCAAAGTATGGATTTTTTTTTTATCAACCAAATGTTCACAAAAGCATACCTTCATTTTATGAGAATTGATTTATTGAATATATTTGCTGTTTATTACCTGTTAACATGTATTTATCATGAGTGGCTCTCACCACTGCCAAAACTGAAAATAAAACTTCTTCTCCAAACTGATGTGAGGATATACACCAGAAGATGCTTCTGTACAGGTGTCAGAGGACGTTAAGAGTTACCTACCTTAGTCCACAACCAGTATTTAATATTTACCTTGTGTTACAAATCAAGTTTTAGTTAACATATTACTGCATTCAGAAAAATGATCAATATTACAGTTTTAAATTTAAGTCCGCTTTGTGTTAACATCATGCAGACTAACATGTGCATCACTGCTTGTCAAGCTTTCAACTTAAAGGTCTCTGTTCAAAATTACTAACAACTTTTGAGAAAATATTTTTTGATGTTTTTTAATACATCATATTTAGTATAAAATAAATATTGAAATATAAGGTTTGTGTACAAGATATCCCATGACAGATTTTTTCCATTGTTACACTATCAGGTACTTAATTATTAGATTGTAATCAGTAATGATTAAAGGTCAGAGATCACACATGATTTGAAGATTGCTCATAAAGATATATCATGAACCACTCTACAGCTTTAATTAAAGATAAAGGAAAGAGATATATATCTATGTGAGCACTTGCTCATCTCATTTTGATTTCAAATGAAATAAGTTCTTATCATTTTCCATAAGAATTAACTTTCTAAACTTTCTGCTATGAGTACATGCTCGTTAATTTGTAATGACAAACTTTTTTGCTACTTAACTGTGTCTGAATATGATCACTGTCTTCCAACTCATTTACATGAAATCAAACCCCAACTTCTCTGACAAACACAATAAAAGTGGTTGTATTGAGGTGATAGGCTCAGTTTTAAAAATCAACACTGTTGTGGCAGGTAATGTGGATATTCTGACCTAGAAATGACGATATTCTGATAATCTTACATGGCAAGGTGGAAATTCTGACATAGCAATGAGGACACTGATAATCTGACTTGGCAGCATGGATATTCTGACCTAGAAATGACGATATTCTGATAATCTTACACGGCAAGGTGGAAATTCTGACATAGCAATGAGGACACTGATAATCTGACTTGGCAGCATGGATATTCTGACCTAGCAATGAGGATATTCTGATAATTTGACATGGTAAATTGGAAATCTGACATGGCAATGAGGACACTGATAATCTGACATGGTAATGAGGACACTGATAATCTGACATGGCAATGTGGAAATTCTGACCTAGCAATAAGGACATTCTAATTTCACAATGTGGAAATTCTGACTAGTAATGTGGAAATTTTGATATGGCAATGAGGAAATTCTGATCTAGCAATGTGGACATTCTGTCAATGCTGATGGTAAATACTTTAGCTTCAGTTATCTACTGGTCATTTATTATTGGGGTTACTTGTAGTGTTATTGGGGACTGTAATTTGCTGGATTGCCTTGATTTTTTCAAGTTAAAATATGTCTGTTTCACTATACTGTTTTAGGTCAGGGTAAATCCATCTCATATTCAAGTATTTAAGGTCATGGAATGTCTGTCTTACGATTCAGTGTTTTGTGTCATGGAATGTCTGTCTTACGATTCAGTGTTTTGTGTCATGGAATGTCTGTCTTACGATTCAGTGTTTTGTGTCATGGAATGTCTGTCTTACGATTCAGTGTTTTGTGTCATGGAATGTCTGTCTCACGATGCAGTGTTTTAGGTCACAAAATGTCCATCTCAGAATGAAGGTTTGAATGTCATGGTATGTCCATTTCTGGATCCAGTGTTTTAGGTCACCAAATGCCTATCTCAAAATGAAGTGATTTAAGGCCATGGAATGTCCATTTCACAATCCAGTGTTCTGTATCATAGAATGTCCATGTGACAATTTTGCTTCTGTGGTCAGTGAATGAATGTTGTATCTGCTGACACCTAAGTATATACGTTCCACTACATAGTAATGAAACTATAATGCAACAGTGACTCTTCCAGATATTAAAATGTGGGGGAAAAAACTTTAAATGTACAAAAATCACCTAGTATTAATACAAAATGTCTTCCAAAATTAAATACCTACAGTAATTAATATTTTTAGTTAAAACATTTTAAATATCTTCATCAGATTTATATGTTGGATGAAAAAAAATCATGAAAAAGTCAATTTTACAGTATTTAATAAATAATTTCTGAATGAGAATGTTAAATCTATCACTGAGCCAAAAAAAATGTGTAGTCCTGTAGACGCTAGCTAGATAGAAGAAAAGTGCATGTTTACAGAGAATACTTACACCCTACTTAGTTTACATGTAGCACTATTCCTGTAGATTTATCATGTAGATGTTAGGGTTGAGATCTATTTTTCTACTTGATACCATACAGAATGTTGGTTTGTCTGTTGAGAGTGAAAGAAAAAGAAACTAAACTTCTGTACATAGATTATATGTAAATAGGAAATTCAAGAGAGATCATCGAATGAATACCAAGGTAGGTTTGTCCAATCGAAGTTAGAGTGAGCTCCCCTGTTAAAAATTGGAGTGATCTCCCTTGTTATACATTTAAGTGAACTCCCCTCTTTTACTTACATTAGAATGATTTTCACCGATATGTGTTAGAGTGATCTCCCCTTTATTTTCTTCTTCACAGCTCCTATATGATATATTATGCATATTCTTTTTACCTGTAAATTGATTGATCATAACTAATCATGCTGTATAAATGTCTTTAGTTCAGCAGAGAAATATCTGTTTTGAAGGAAACTTGTGATAAAATAAAATCTGAGAAGAAAGAACGAAGATGGTGTGTGAAGCAGAGATACCTTTAAACTTCTTGAAACATCTTCAGTATATCATATCATTGATCGCATAAAGATTTGAAATTCTTTAAGTATGTCTTTTAATCTTCCTCACCTTTTGTTTCCCTATCATTGTCATCACAGAGCAAGATTGAGCATCAGTTCAATCTTATTTTATCAGCAACACATACTTATTTCTTCACTTAATAAAATATTAGTCTAAAATGCAGTCCCCCTCATTATCTCTGTACAAATCTTGCATCTGCAGATGTTGACATTCTTTTTTTTTCTTCCTGTTGAAAGTCACCTGGAAATTGCTCAATCCAGACCAATCTTTTAACTAATTCTCATTTATATTGATATAACATAGTTTATAGATCTATCATTAGGATGAATGATATTCATAATACTAAAAATTATATAAGTTAATTAACTTCAATAATATTATTGTACTAGATTTTTCTGTAATGTCATGGAGCTTAGCTAATGTAATATCACGTTGCCAAAATTTACTAAAATGTCACTAAGCTTAGATTTACTATAATATATAATAATTTTTATTTAACTTTTAGTATGAAGTTTCAGTAGATTTGCATTTAACTGCATTTTAAGTAGGGTTAAAGTATCTTAAGTAGTGTTGTGTATTTATATATTTATTTCATGTTAAGTGTATTTTATGCAGATTGTATTTTATGTCGAGTGTATTTTACATACCCAGTATATTGTTATTTTATGGATAGTTTACATTAAGGATATATGTTTGGTGGTGGTTGTTTTAAGTTGTGATGATTTTCCTATTTCCTGTTTATTTTACGTTGTCCCATTCCATTTAGTTTAATCTCCAACAACATATATGTCTAGTTTATATACAGTTTACATAGTTTGAGATAAATGCATGTGTTTATTTATTTGTTGAAATGTTGAACTGACATTGTACATTGACTCCACATATTTTACTCAAGGTATGCCTTCTTTAAGTTCAGAGTAACGCCTATATGTTTTGTTATTAATCTACCATGACATTAACATGGATCTGGTCTGGTCATGACCAAGATCTAGTCTGGCACTGACCTAGATCTAGTCTGACCCTGACCTAGATTTAGTCTGGCTTTGACCTAGATCTAGTCTGGACATGACCTAAATCTGATCTGATCCATCAATCTTTATCAAGTGAGTGAAATGAAATTGTAATCAGTAAATTTTCATGATTGAAAATGAAAATATTTAGGTGAACATGTTTTTAGAACTTGACTTATGTCGAGTTGTTTGTTCTGTTACTTATTTTACATTTTTCTCCGGAGCTTGTGTATAAAAGATGGGTATGATAATGCTCATAACCTATCAATCATTTCTACCACTGTTAGATAGCCAAACATTTCAGATTTCCATAAAACTACCCTCATACTTACTTCATTTTACCTGTATTTATTCAGAATCACTACCATATCTAGCAATTTTTACTGGTCAAAAGTTTTGCAATTTTCTTTTGAATTGACTGAATAATATTTAAACAAATTCGGATTTCATGATCGGGATGTGAACGGACATCTAGTATACTCATGTCCCATTATTTCATGGATTAAATTTTCACAATTAAGTTAATGTACCGTGAAATAATGAAAATAGTATCCCGTGATAAAGAGGTATAGAAATGAAGAATGGATTACTCGATCTGCTTATAAACTCATCGGGTTATCGTTTACAGTCAGATTGGCATTGTGGTGAGTATGAGTGTGTGAGAATTTATTTCCATATGTAATACAAATAGTATTGATCAAGGAAAAATAAAATATTGCTTGTTCATTGTAATTGTTTCATGTCTTTTTTGTGGAAGAAAAAGTCTGGACATTTCACCTCACTGCATCACAATATTCATGACGTCACAATCACGGGGCTGTTATCTGAAGACATCAACACAAACCGCTGTCTCCGTATGGAAGAAAGCTGGATTAGAATATTAGGAACTTCTCAACCAGAAGGTTTGAACATTATAGCATAATAGAAAAATAATGTAGTTGTTTACGGAATAGAGGAGAGTAGATCTATAGAAAAGCATCAACGGAGAGAAGAAGATAAGTAATATTGAAGATATTAAAAACGTGCAATGTGAACACAGAGACAGAGGAACCCATCATAGGGAAAGTTGTAAGACTTGGCAGACTGAGGGATCCACAGACTGAGAGCCAAAGGGGAGAAGAAACAAATATAAGGAGTAGAGTCAGAGGGAGGCCCATTCTAGTTTCATTCAACAAAAAGGAAACTAAATCAGATTTATTTCAGAATATCAGGAATCTAAATTCTATTAAGGGAATGAGCAGTATCAGAATCTCCAATGATCTGACAAAAACAGAAAGAGACCAAGAAAAATTGCTGCAGGCAGAAGCCAGAAAAAAAGAGACACAGTCATCGGGGGAATTCAGATACAGAGTGCGGGGGCCACCATGGGCGAGGAAAGTGATAAAAGTAAAAGCGAATGCAAACTAGATACAAAGAAAAACAAAAACTTTGTAAATAATGTAAATACGTTAGATACTTTTAATGTGTTAAACTCAAAATTTGTTGACGTTGATATAAATAACTCACCACAAAGCAATAACAGGAAATATATGAACAAGAAACAGAACTTGATCTGTATCAGCACTAATGCTGATAGTTTTATGAATAAATTTGATGAGTTTAAAAGTAGATTTTTAGTAGAAAACCAACCAGATATAATTGCAATTACTGAAGTTTTACCCAAGAATAGAAATTACACTATTGATAAAGCTGAACTAGAACTTTCAAACTACGAATTGTTTCCAAGCAATTTCCCAAACAATAAAAGAAGAGGTGTTATTGTTTATGTTACCAAGAAGTTGTGTGCTGTAGAGTTGAATTTTGAATCAGACTTTGAGGAAAGTGTGTTGCTGAAAATATCTCTGGATAAGAAAGATACAATGTTGTTTGGGTGTATATACAGAAGCCCTTCATCCAATGAACAAAACCTAGAGGCATTAAATGAACTGTTAAACAAGGCCTGTCAGGGTAACTTCACACATACCGTCATAACAGGGGATTTCAACTTCCCAGATATAGACTGGAATGATTTGACTACTAAGAATACAAATAGTGCTAAGTTCGTGGAATGTATTAGAGACAATTTTCTGTATCAAATTGTTGATAATGTCACCAGACATAGACAAGGTCAAGAATCATCATTGCTAGATTTGATACTAGTTAACGATATTAACAATATTGTTGGGATCAAGTACTTGGATCCCTTGGGAGCCAGTGATCACTGTGTTATAAAATTTGAGTACCAATGCTACATAAAGGATGAAGGAAATAATCCCGACCGACTGAACTACTATAGAGGAAACTATGAAGCCATGAGAAAGGATCTTGACATTGACTGGGATAAGGAGTTCATTGGTTGTGACACCATAAAGATGTGGGACATATTTCTCAGTAAGCTTTCATCGTCAATACAGAAGCACGTCCCAAAGGCCAAGCCTAGAAATATTAAGGGTTCAACACCACTGAGCAAGGAAACAGTAAAAAGTATTAAAAGGAAACACCGGCTATGGGAAAGACACATGGAAAGAGGCACAAAGGAAAGTTACAGGGAATATCGTAAGGCAAGAAATAAAGTGAAGCAACTAATTCGGAAAGAAAGGAAAGAAAAGGAGAGACAAGTGGCAGAATCAGCTAAGGCAAACAGCAAGAACTTCTGGAAGTATGTTAATTCAAAAAGAAAGTTGAGGGATGGTGTGGCAGAGCTTCATGTGAATACAACAGATGGAAAATCAGTAGCAAGCAGCGACGAAGAGAAGGCTGAAGTACTCGCAGACTTTTTCAGCAGTGTATTTACTGTAGAAGACTGTGAAAATATACCAGAGATACAAGAAAAAGATACAAAACAGAACAAAGTTGACAACATTACAACAGATGAAGTGAATAAAGTCCTGCATCAACTAAATGTTACAAAGTCACCAGGACCAGACAACCTACATCCGAAGGTGCTGCATGAGATCCAGAATGAAATAAGAAAACCATTGTGCATGATATTTGATAATACGCTGGAGTTGGGAAATATCCCAGAGATATGGAAAGTTGCCAAAATTACAGCAATTTTTAAAAAAGGGGACAAAAAATCAGCATCAAACTACAGGCCTGTCAGCCTGACCAGTATTGTGTGTAAGATGATGGAGAAGCTAATCAGAGTAAGAGCAATGGACTATATGAATGAGAACAACTTGTTTAGTGAGAGACAGTTTGGCTTCCTAGGAGGAAGATCAACAGCATTGCAACTACTGAGTGTTATTGACAGTTGGACTGAAGTATTAGACAGAGGGGGAGTGATTAATACAGTTTACATGGACTTCATGAAGGCCTTCGATAAAGTGCCTCACAAGAGACTCATTGAAAAGCTGAAAATGTATGGCTTACACCCGAAATTATGTCACTGGATTGAGCAATTTTTAACTAACAGGAAGCAGTGTGTACAAGTAAATGGAACCAACTCTAAGTGGCACAAAGTAACAAGCGGAATACCTCAAGGATCTGTCCTAGGCCCAGTGTTATTCGTGATATATATAAATTACCTTCCTGATTGTGCCTTGTCAGAAGTGTTCCTCTTTGCAGATGACACCAAAATTTTCAGAGAGATAAAGGATAGCAGTGATATTAAAGCACTTCAGCAGGACCTAGATCAGTTGTACCAGTGGAGTGAAAAGTGGTTGTTGAAGTTTCATCCAGATAAATGCAAGGTTCTATCCATACATAACAAGGGTAAGCAAGTTGAGGAAACCATTTATAGCATGAAAACAGAGGAGGGAATCGAGAAAATTCTAGAGAATGTTGAAAGCGAAAAAGATATCGGAGTCACCATAGCTAAACACCTGACATTTGAGAAACACATACAGACTCAAGTCAACAAAGCAAACCAGATTGTAGGGCTTATGAGGCGCTCATTCATATACCTAGATAACAGAACATTCTGCTTGTTGTTCAAAGCCTTGGTGCGCCCCTATATAGAATATGCCAGTTCAGTATGGTCACCTCATAAAAAGAAAGATATGGAAGCACTGGAGAATGTTCAAAGAGTGACAAGGATGTTACCGCAGATGAAGAATATTGAATATGAACAACACCTGAATCTTCTCAAGTTGCCAACTTTAAAATTTAGAAGAATGAGAGGGGACATGATTGAAGTATTCAAAATACTAAAAGAAATATATGACCCAACAGTTACCTCACAACTACTGGAACTAAACAACACCAGCACTACAAGGGGGAACTCCTTAAAGTTAGCCAAAAAGCAGTGCACTAAAGATATAAGGAAATACAGTTGTAGCACAGCATCAACACCTAACGAATCAAAGGACTTCATTGATTACAGAGCATTTTATTATCGATCAGCTTTAGACTCCACAGTGGGTCAAGATGAACTTAATTTTTCTTATCTAGTAGTTAATAATTCGTCTTATATATTTCTATTTTGCTGATTATTTTTAAGATAATAGTAACGTCTATAACAGACCCACTAGAGGTCCGTCAGGAATTTGAGTTATCGTTATTTGAACTATACTCATAACGTCATAAGTAACAATGCACAGAACACCACATTTTTAGTACTTTAGGGGTTGAGTTTACACAAATGTTGTCCTGAAGGAGCCAATATGTTACAGGCGAAACCGGTAGACGAAGAATAATAAATAACAATTTCAGAATCCTGAGCTTGTTGCGATTACCTCTTACCCCTTAGATGAGAAACATTTACAGGCAAGCATACAGTAATATAAAAGACTTGCACAAATTGTTATAGATTTGCCATTTATATTAATTGTAAATGACAAAGAAAACGTATAAGATACGGGGAAATATAAACTGTCAGAACACTAACGCCATATTGATATCTGTAAAATATATGTAAAACGTGCGGCATGCAATACGTCGCTCAGACATCCACGACGATAAATACACACATCAGAAATCAGCTATACACAATTATACACTCGGATCTGGACAAACCTGTGGCGGGACATTTCTGTACGTCAGGTCATAATACTGATGACGTCAACGTCATTGGCATGACAACGAATGTACACGACATCAACCGTAGGCTACGTCTGGAGGAGAGTTACATACGTATCTTAAAAACTGAACAACCAGAAGGGCCAAATATAATAAGATAACGATGGTAAGGACAAAGACCACCCCAAGGAATATACCGGAGTCGAGTTGGAAGACAAGGATTCGATGTATTTTATGTGGGAAAAGTTATGCTAGCGTTAAGAGCCTAAGGAGGCATGTAAACGTAAACCACTCAGCCACAAAGACCTGGTATAGATGTAAGGTTTGTAAACTGTCTTACGGAAGAAACTCAGATTATCTAAGACACCAACAAAAGGAACACCCAATGTACAAGATCGAACCGGAAATCGTACAAGACAAAACGAGGGAGGAAGCAAATGCACCATCAAACAAAAGACCGTTCGAAAGGCTTACCAAGTTGCAATTGGACTTGGTGAAGTTCCCGGTTGTCCCGGAACGGCAACTTATAAGCGGAGGACCACCGAAGAAGTCCAGCCCTTTATTGGACCAAGCCATAGACCTATTGAAGGAGGACTTCGCCTTTAGCAACACCTCGGAGAATGAGGATATGGGAGAGAAAAGGGACTATAAACAGTTAAATTATGTCTCAGTGTCGACATCCACACTGTGTCTAGATGAACATTGATAATTTTTTATAAATTATCTACTAACCGCAATGGAGATACTGATTTTATAATTTAGAATAGGAATCTAGAAGTTATATAATTAATTTG